CTGGTGGTGCAGTGGTTGAGAGCCTGCCTGCCAATGCAGGGGACGCAGGTTCGTGCCCCGGTCCGGGAAGATCCCACATGCTGCGGAGCGGCTGGGCCCGTGAGCCATGGCCGCTGAGCCTGCGCGTCCGGAGCCTGTGCTCTGCAACGGTAGGGGCCACAACAATGAGAGGCCCGCGAACCGCAAAAAACAAAACCAAAAACAAACAAAAAAAAACAAGCTTGAAATCTACTTCTCTGCTCACCTCTGAAGATTAGTCTAGTGCTTTCTCTTTGCCAGAGGAATCGGAATTGAATTGCAAAATTTAAAAGTACTCCTATATCACTACACATAAGTAACATACTTTGCCCACTGCAGTCAAGATTTATGAGATTAGATATTAAAAGGGTTGACGAAGTTAAAGAACACTTCATCTTAAAAACTAATTTGGGTGAGTCTTCTTTAAGCATACTTTTAAAATATTATTTTGACTTTTGAACCTTGTATATATTTTATATACTCAAACATAAAAGTTTAAAAGGGAGCCTTTTTACACTGTTGGTGGGAACATAAACTAGTGCAGCCACTGTGGAGAACAGTATAGAGGTTCCTTAAAAAACTAAAAATAGAGCTAACATATGATCCTGCAATCCCACTCCTGGGCATATACCCTGAGAAAACCATAATTCAAAAAGAGTCATGGACCGCAATGTTCATTGCAGCACTGTTTACAGTAGCCAGGACATGGAAGCAACCTAAATGTCCACTGACAGATGAATGGATAAAGAGATGTAGTATGTGTGTATACAAACACAAACACACACACACACACACACACACACACACACACTGGAATATTACTCAGCCATAAAAAACAATAATGCCATTTGTACCAACATATACGGACCTAGAGATTATCTAACTAAGTGAAGTAAGTCAGACAAAGACAAATATCACATGATATCACTTATATGTGGAATCTAAAAAAGTGATACAAATTAACTTATTTACAACATGCAGATTCACAAAGAAAACAAACTTACCAAAGGTTAACCAAAGGTTACCAAAGGGGGAAGCGGGGAGGAAAAATTAGGGGTTTGGGATTAACAGATACACATTACTAAATATAAAATAAACAAGGACCTATGGCACAGGGAACTATATTCAGTATCTTGTAAAAACCTATAAAGGAAAAGAATCTGAAAAAGAATGTATGTATATCTGAATCACTTTGCTGTACACCTGAAACTAACACAACATTGTAAATCAACTACACTTCAATAAAAAGTTGTTTCTTTCTGAAAAAAAAATAAAGTTTAAAAAAGAAAACCTTAAGATAAAAAATGAAACCAGGGCTTCCCTGGTGGCACAGTGGTTGAAAGTCCGCCTGCCAATGCAGGGGACGCGGGTTCGTGCCCCGGTCCGGGAGGATCCCACATGCCGCGGAGCGGCTGGGCCCGTGAGCCATGGCTGCTGGGCCTGCGCATCTGGAGCCTGTGCTCCGCAGCGGTAGAGACCGCAGTGGTGAGAGGCCCGCGTACAGCAAAAACAAAACAAAACAAAACAAAACAAAACAAAAAACCAATGAACCATATCAAATTGGCAGTATAACCAAACAGAGGAAAGTACTTCAAGTGACTTCTGAACACAGTAAGTACTCTGATTATACAGCCTTCGTGTAATATATTCTAAGGACAAAAATAGATGCAAAGAAATCTTAAACTTTACTCAGTTTATTGTTAGTAATGATACTGGTATGATAATTTTGAAATGATTTTAAGTATACATAGTAGGATAAGGCAAGTGTGTTAATTTTATTAGGAACCAAGATTTTTGTTTAAGACAAAAGAGACCAATATAGAATCAAAGAAGTTAAAGAAAAATCTGCTATGTTAAATCTGAATTGAATATATAACTATGAACTTGATTCACAAGCAAAAAACCATTTTTAGTTCTCCCCTCTGAAAGGGCCTAGAAATAGTGACACTCCAGCAGCAATGAATATGCCAAACATCCAGATCTTGGTTTCTATACACCGTTTCTCACTACAAAGAACCAAGACTCCTTAGATTAACAGCCCATTCCAGATCTGGAACAAGGAAAGTAACAAGGCAAGCCTGGGATATCCTGTGCCAGAAAGCACTCCCAGCATTAAAAAGACACAGGAGACAGCTTGAAAAGGTTCCTACTGTCCAAATTTGGGACAGTTAGATCATCAAGAAGAAAAACGACTGTAATGGTTATTAAAAAAAAAATAATAATAATAAATTAAAACCCATGAGTCCATAGTGAAACTGTTAACACAAGTTCATGTGCCTGACACACAGTGAGGCCAAACAACCTGAAACGTCGGAGTCTGGAGCAGAGAAAAGTTTACTGCAGGGCCATGCAAGGAGATGAGGTGGCTCATGCCCTAATAAGCCCCAAGCTCCCCGAAGGTTGGCGAAGTACTTTTAAAAGCCAGGTGAGGGAGGGAGGTTGCAAGGTATGTAATCAGCTTGTGCACAATTCTCCCACTGTCTGATGGTGAGGCAGCAGGGTGGTGTCACAGGGGTGAACATTATCAGTCCTTAGGCAACAGGAGGCCTGGGGCTATGTGCTCAAGGTCGCCAAGGAGTTAACATCTTCCATTTGTTGGAGGGGGGTAGGTTTACATCTGCAAAACAACTCAGGAAATGTGCATCAAACACTATTATCTAGGTACTTCAGAGAGGAGCCACAGCAGAGGATCTGGGGGAAGGCCCATCCTGGGAAGGCCCCATGGGGCCCTGCTCAGTTACAGTTATCCCCATAAAAAAGAAAAAAAAAACCCCTTATTTGCCACCATTGGGGGTGACTATCGCCCCAGTATTCTTTACTCTGAATACCGATAACTGGAGGGAGGACATTAGCATTTTTAGGAGGAAGTTTAGTTCACTCCTAGTTAATGAAGGAAATCTTCCAGACAGAAAATCTCCAATAAAATAACTGATTTAAGCAAGAGTCATCAATGGGTGCTAAAATCACTGAGCAAACGGTAGGCAGAAACAGGTATTTGCTTGGTGTCAAGGAATTACTCCAAGATCACGTACAAATCACGAACAGGGAAACCACATCTTTATAACAGATCTGGTAGTCACCACTTTGATCAAGTGGTCACATTTAGTATCCTTAACAGTGTGGCAATCTGACGTTAAATACCACCTAAATGGCATAACATGAAGTACACAGCATCATCTATTAAATATTCTTGCCAAATAAAGTTTTCCTTAAGCTACTCAAGCTTTTCTTTAGACCTAACTTCCAGTAACAGGAAATTCAGGGCGACAGAGGAATTAATTAAATGACACCATTAGGAAACAGACAAACCCAGAAGTGGGAGCATAAAGCAAGTGGTTTGGTTAATTGTCAGAATAAAAAAAGATGGGTACTCCTCTTTTAAAAAAAGGACTAGAGGCATAATCAACAAATGCAATGCTGGGGTCAGAGGTAGATTTCCCAAAAGAGACCTTGGCATACTAAGGAAATTTGCATATGGATTGTTAATTTAGAAAGGTGTTGATAGTGATACTGGGGTTAGAATGTCCTTAGTTTTAGGAAACCATGCTGAAATACTGGAGTGTCATGGAGTTGGCAATTTACTTTCAAATGATTACATACTGAGACACACAGAAAGGGAGGAGAGGGGGGAAATGGCAAAAATGTCAATCACTGAATCTAGGTACTGGGGTGTTCACTGCATTTTTCCCTCAATTTCAAAGAGACTGACATTTTTCATAATTAAGTTTAAAAAAAGTGTACCTATACTGAGAGGAATGGTAGAAAACACATCTACACTGGAATTATATCTGGATCCAAATCTCACCTCTATCACTAACTAGTTGTGTGGCCTAAAGCAAGTTACTTAATATCACTTGAGTTTGTCTCATCTGTAAAACTCAAGTAATAATATCTTAAGTCATTAGGTTGTTCTGAGAATAAAATCACATCAGATATGTAAAATGCCTAGCAGTGTTGCACACAATAAGTAAATCTGGTTTTCATAATTAATGCAATCATCCTAAAATACAAGACTACAGGAAAACATTCCTTTCATTATTGCCACATTCCATGATTAGGAAGCTACATTAGGTAAAATTAAATATCCATTGACAGTGAAAGTGAAGTAATGAGGGTAACTGTATAAATAAAGATTTACATAATATTTTTTTAAATGCAATAATTCCGACCGAAACACTCTAGGCAAAAAAAGCTACCTACCCAAACAACTGGTATCTATCAAATTGTGAAGTCTGCTTTTGGTATTAGCCGCTTATCCGAATAAAACAGTAAGAAAATAAGTGGAAGTTAAAGAGAATGTCTTCCTAACCAACAGAAAATCTACTTATACGTGGAAAAAAATGTAAGTTCTGGCCTTCATTTCTATAAGTCAGTCCCAATAAAGCAGACTTACTGGGCTTTACTCTAAATTCTGGTTAACCTTCATACAACTCACAAGCATGCTTCCTTTCATCAGTTCTAACGTACTCGTCATTTCACTCGCAGGTAACCCTTTTCTGGTTAGGCCAGCAGAAAATGACTAGATGCAGACGGATCCCCAGATAGGAAAGAAAAAAAGGTTTTCATTTTTTGTTTTTTAAGTAAGTGCCAACCTTTTCTTCCCAGTACCAGAGAAAAAAAGCAGCAGGGGAGAGGAGGGAACAGTGGGTCTCGCGCTGCGGGCTCGACCAGGTGAGACGTTAACACTCCGCCTCCTCGGGGTTAGGGTGCTGGGCACACGCGCGTGCGGATGCGGGGCGTCCTGGGAGATCGGGGCAATTTCTCCTGGACGGCGGGACCCAAGGCCAGTCTCCTTCTCGAAGGCTCAGATGCCATTGAGGGGACCCTGCGGGGTGTCTCCCGGCGCGGAGGGGGTGAGGAGACCAGGCGTTCCCTTCAGTCCAGCGCCCAGATGGGGGACGCACGGCGTCAGCCCTTCGGAGGGCGCGCCCGAGGGCGCGGGCGGCGAAGAGGGGCCGGCCCTCCCCTCCCCTCCCCGTTACCTGCGGGCGGCGGTGCCAGGGCCCGGAGGCCTGCTGCTCCTCCTCCTCCTCCTCCTCCCCGCCAGGCTGAGGCGGCGAGGGGGTGGTGGCGACGGTGGCGGCGGCAGCCCGGGGGGAGGGGGCGGAGCGCGCGGCCCGCTCCCTTTCTCCTCCCCCGGGAGGCGGAGGAGACCCTATCTCGGGCCGCCGCGCCTAGGCCCGTGGACAGCCTGCGGCAGGGGCATGGCGGCCCCGAGCAGCGGCGTGACTGCGAGGTGGGAGAGTGCGAGGCGGCGGGAGGGGAGCGCTCTGGGGGCCTGAGGGGAGGAGCGAGGGGGCCCGGCGAACCGCGCGCGGGCGGCCGTTGGGGGCGGTTGGCCGAGGGCAGGCGGCGGTTTGGGGAGCGAGGCGACGGCTCGCGTTTTCCCGGCGGGGCGGGGTGGGGAAGGGGAAGGGGAGTGAGGGGAGGGGAGGGGGAGGTTGGGAGGGAGCCGCCGCCGCGCGCGTGCGGGCCGGCGCCGCCGCGGTTGCTGCTCCGCTCACTCCAGCCTGTTTGGGGGCACTTTGTTTGTGTCCCACAATGCTCTGCGCGGGCGGCCGGGTTGGGGAGGGGGGGGCAAGTGGGCGGGGCAGAGAGAGCTCGGGGGCGGGGCGCGAGCTCGGGGCGGGGGGAAACGCGGGTACTGCGCAGGCGCAGAGGACGCTGCTCCCGGTTGCCTTCGCTCGAGTTCGGTCTCCCGACGCACCCGCGGGTTTTGACAGGAGCAGTGCATCTTCATGCCTTCGTGAACACGTGTAGAGTTACCTTCACAGGCCGCCTAGGCACTGGCCAATTCGCCCTTCCTCTGCCCGTCCGCTCATCAGGCTTCCCGCTAACCTTGACAAGCATTTCTGCGCACGGTGCACGCTTCTTGCATTTTTTTTCCTTCTTTGAACTAAAACCGAAACAAACTCCTGTTTTCTCGAGTGGTTTCTGTAGCGGCGCTGAACCGGAACACCCCAGACGCTTTCTCTCGGTGAGAGGGTGAGCTGGTAGTCAGCCCATTTCTCACACGCGGAAACTGAGGCCTGCGGACAGGCGGCCCCGGACAGGTGAGGATGCCGTGCGCCGCCGGCTCCCGCGCCCGCCTCCCCGCAGGCAGCCAAGCCCGGCCGGTGTCCGGCTCCCTGCGGCCTCTGCAGCCCGGGGCGTCCTCTCGGCGCCCGAGAATTGTTCTAGAATTTCCCTGGGCCACCCGGCGGGAGGTGCGGTTTTGAAATGACTGGAGAAATCCATCTTATTCCCCCAACACGGGGTCACCTAGAGCCGCTCCCCAAATATGCCTGTTCCTTTCGCACCTGGAGTCACATTTGGTTCCAACGCCAGTAACCTGGCTTTCCGGCGAGGGAGTATGCGGGGGGCTTGAGAGTTCTCGGTCAACTGCAAAATCGCGTAAAGTGTTAGAACTCCCAGGACTCCAAGCCTTAGCGTCCCCGGCCCGGCGGGCGGGCGAGCGCTCGGACGGGGCCCGGTGGCCCGGAGGGGCGCCCTGGGCGGCTGGCAGAAGCGCGCCCCAGGCTAGTCGGCCGGCCGCGCTGGGGCCAAGGGGGTGCGGCCTGCAGCGCCCGGGGGGCTCCTCAGCTGCATGCTGTGTTTTCCCATGCCTTCAGCTTTTGCACCGAAAAACTTCTCCAAAGGGCTTTGTTCAAGGTGGCCGGCACCCCGTCTGAAGTAGAGTGGCGTTTTGTTCTGAAACACTTGGCAACGTCTTGCCTTGATCTCACTGAGAGACAAGCACCCCAGCACCCTAGCACCCCCTCTTTCTAGCCACTGAAATCTATGTGAGAATTAAAGGCCATAAAAAGCAACGTCAAATTGTATAGTCTTATGCGGTTTCCAACAGATTTTCAAGTATATATAATGTTTAATTCTAACAGCAATCGTAATATGTAGGTTTTGCTGTTATTCCCACTATCATTTTTATTATTCCCATTTCAGAGATGAGGAAAGTCAGGAAGATGCGAATGAGGCCCAGAAAGTTTTGTGCTGAGATTTGAAGAAGGAGAAGAAAAAGAAGGCGGAATGCTTACCCTGGAAGGGGAACAGCAGCGACAGAGCAAGTCTCAGGAAGGGCCTGGTGTGTGTTAGAGCAGGTGCACAAGGTAATACCTGGAGAAGAATCAGGGTGGGAATAAAGCAGTCAAACAAATCCCGCGGACCTCTCCTAGGGCATTTAATCGGAGAGTCGATAAGGGACCTCTAGGCAAGTCCTTACTGCTTTCCAGGGGACTGCGGTGGCAGCCCTGGCACAAAATACAGCTTTTCTTATATTACTCTCTTGTCTTTTCTCCGTTTCCTCCCTTTTTGTACTTTTCTGTTTTTCATTTTATATTTAAAAATTATCATCCTCTCACCCCACCCCCTCCCTGGGACTGGAGGATAAATTAACCACCCAATGGCTGTGGGACCCTAAGGGCACAGGGCTAGATGGTTGGATAGGGTGTGAGAAGATATAAAAAGATTAACTTTGTAGGAGTCCTCTCCTCTGTTTTGGCTTTGGGCAGGGCCACTTTCTGTGGCACCTGCAGCCTCCCCCTTTCTCCTGGGCTAGTAGAGACTTGCCCTTGGCTTGGCCGGAATATATACACCTTTTTTCCACACTAGGTTAAATAATACTGCTGGGAGGATTTTATGAAACCAGAGTCCTGCACACAGGTGAAACAAACAAACGGAGACAGTTATGAGGAACCTTAAATTATTAACCTGGTGCAGGTGATTCTGAGGAATTCAAATTCCAGGCGAAGAGGGTTTTATTTCAGCCCTGAGCTGTTCGGGGGGGCCAAATTCTGGCAGAAATGGCACTTGCTTGTGGTAGCCCGTAAGGGCTGAATGGGAACTTAGTTACTTAGTCCACAACTTATTTCAGAGCAAGAACACTGGACACTTAACTGAAAGACCTCTAGTCCAACTCGGATAATTCCAATAGAGGAGAACTCACTACTGCACAAAGCAGCCTTGCTCCCCTATTAGATCATTCCAACTATATTAACAAAATTAGTCTAACTCCCCGACCCTGAAACTTGCACCTCTTCTAGTATTCCCATTTCATCATCCATCCAGTTGAGCATGTCAGCTTGGCTACTTCACTACTCTTCCACATCTCAGTTCCAACCCATCAACAAGTCCTACTGAATTCGTCCATTCCTACGACCACCATCCTAATCTTGTAACCAAGCAGGACCCCATGGGGCCTTCCCTTCCCAGATCCTCTGCTTTAGCTCCTCTCTGAAGTACCTAGATAATAGTGGATTTGATGCACATTTCCTGAGTTGTTTTGCAGATGTAAAAAAAACCCCCTCTCCAACAAATGGAAGATGCTAACCTTGATCACATAGCCCCAGGCCTCCTGGAACCTAAGGACTGATAATGTTAACCCCTGTGACACCACCCTGCTACCTCACCATCAGACAATCAGAGAATTGATAAGCTGATAAGCTGATCACATACCCTAAGGCTTCCCCCTGCCACCCTGGCTTTTAATCCCCGGGCTTTTTAGGGCAAGAGCCTCCTCATCTCCTTGCATGGCCCCGATGTTTCAGTTTGTTTGGCCTCACTGTGCATCGGGCACACGAACTTGCATTAACAATCTAAGACACCAACCAATACCTTGTACCCGGAGAACTGTAATACCACCTACCTGGTTTCCCGAATATACCCCGCCCCCTTCTCTTCATTCTCTGCATGGTAGCTGGAGTTATAATGCATAGTGATCTTATCACACAACAATGGCTTCCTATTGTTTTTAGGATCAAATCTCAAACTTTTACCATGGCTTTCACAGCTACAAATGTGGGCCTGTTCAATACATAGCTTCAGCTTCAACTCTCATTATACTCTTTCAAGGAACATGCCAGATGCAGATTTTTTTTTCACATCTTCTAAAATGCCACGCTCTTTCCTCCAGTGCACACATTACTCCCTCTGTATATGTATACATTGTTCCTTAGCTAATTCCTCTCAATCCACACATCTCTTCTACATAATATATGTATTTAAAGAGAAAAACCAGGGCTTCCCAGTGGTTCAGTGGTTAAGAATCCGCCTGCCAATGCAGGGGACATGGGTTCGAGCCCTTGTTTGGGAAGATCCCATATGCTACAGAACAACTAAGCCTGTGTGCCACAGCTACTGAGCCTGCACTCTAGAGCCCACGGGCCACAACTGAGCCCGTGTGCCACAACTACTGAAGCCCATGAGCCTAGAGCCCGTGCTCTGCAAGAGAAGCCACTGCAGTGAAAAAACCCGTGCACCGCAAGGAAGAGTAGCCCCCGCTCCCTGCAACTAGAGAAAGCCCGCACGCGCAGCAAGGAAGACCCAACACAGCCAAAAATAAATAATTAACATAATAATAATAAAATAAAGAGAAAAACCACAAGCCCAAATGTCACTTTTGCTAAAGCCCATGGTACCAAACCTAGATTTAATACCTGACCTAATTGCAGTTTCGACCTTTACCGGGAATGTAATCTTAATCAGCCAGTTTGGAAGTTTCTGGTCAGCAATAATAATAATCTGTCACATGGACCCTCTCCATTCCCCACCCCATCCCGCCCCAGGAAGAAGATGCAGTCTGCATGATGAAACCCTTGCTGTCACTTCCCCCCACAGAAGAAGGTGTCCTGGCCTAAAAATAATCCTTTCTATTCTTTTATTAAACATCCCTTGCCCCCCACTTCTTCCTATAAAACCTCCCATTTTGTACAGCCCCTCAGAGCACACTTCTCATTGCTAGATGGGATGCTACCTGATTCAGGAATCGAATAAACTGAATTAGATCTTCAAATTTACTGAGATGAATTTTGTTTTTTTAACAATATACATGAACATTATGAGATATAATTCACATACCATGCAATGGACCCATTTAAAGTGTTACAGTTCAGTGTTTTTTAGTATATGCAGAGTTGTGCAGTCATCACCACAGTCAATTTTTGAACATTCTCGTAACCCCAAGAAGAAACTCTTACCATTAGCAGTCACTCTCCCTTCCTCCCCAACTCCTCAGCCCTAGGCAACCACTAATCTGTATACTTTCTGCTTCTACAGATTTGCCCATTCTGGACGTTTCATATAAATGGAATTCAGCTCTCTTTCTGACAACCACTCATTCAAGGCCTCCTCCCCTGTTTCCCCTGACTGTGTTAGATCCCATGGTATAGATTCTTAGAGCTCCCTGCATTTCTCCAACACTCTTCTAATTACCACTGTAGTTCCCTCTTATCATTCACCACTTTAATCCCAGAGCCTAGCACAGTGTCTAGCCCATAATAGGTATTTGATAAATGTTTAAGGAATGAATCATGATTAATGAAATAAATGAATATGGGGGCCAATTTTATCAGTTAGTAGAATGGCAACTTCCCAAGACCTGTGATGTCAGGGAAGAAGCTTGTGCTTCAGTAGACTTACCCATTCTTCTCCAAGATGCCAGAATATCCACAATTAAAGTCCATCCTTTTTTTTTTGCGGTACGCGGGCCTCTCACTGTTGTGGCCTCTCCCGTTGCGGATGCGCAGGCTCAGCGGCCATGGCTCACGGGCCCGGCTGCTCCGTGGCATGTGGGATCTTCCCGGACCGGGGCATGAACCCGTGTCCCCTGCATCGGCAGGCGGACTCGCAACCACTGCGCCACTAGAGAAGCCCCCTTCTTCTTTATTGTGGAGAATTTCAAACATATAAAATATAGAAAGGACAGTTAAAAATATATAAACATGTACCTAACACTCAAGCCCCCGAATCCAGTCAATGGCCAACATTGCCTCATCCATACCCCCTTCAATTTTTTTCCCCTTCCCATATTATTTTGAAGAAAAGTCCAGGTATCATATGATTTTCTATGTAAATAGTCTGTATTTCTAAAAGAGTTCAAAAAAAAACTCCCAATGCCATAATCACAAACTTAAAATAACAATGATTTCTTAATGTCATAAAATATCCTGTTACTATACACATTTCCAATAGACTCATAAATGTTCCTTTTTTTTTTTTTTTAACCAAATGTTTCAGTGAGGAGCTATACTGTGTTTGGTTGGTACATTTTTTTTCTTAATTAAAAAATAAATTTTTTTTTGGAGTATAGTTGATTTATAATGTTGTGTTAGTTTCAGGTGTACAGCAAAGTGAATCAGTTATACATGTGCATATATCCACTCTTTTTTAGATTGTTTTTGGGTTGGTACATCTTTGAAAGTCATCTGTATTTATTTTTTCTTTCTTTGTTTTCCCGTTTTTGGTTTTTGTTTTTTTTGCCATGCCGCTAGGCGTGTGGGTTCTCAGTTCCCTGACCAGGGATTGAACCCGGGCCATGGTAGTGAAAGACCAGAATTCTAATCACTAGGCCGCCAGGGAACTCCTAGTATTTTTTTTTTTTTTTAATTTAAGGAAGTTAGTTGTTTGTCCTTTAGTTTTTGCCACAATCCAGATTTTGTCAGTTGCATCCCCACAGCATACTTTAATGTGTTACCTTGTCCTCTATTATTTTCTATAAATTGGTAGTAAGATCTAGATGTATTATCAGATTCGTGTTTAATTTTTTGGCAGGATACCTTCCTAGGTGGTGGTGTATTTTTCCATTAGGAGACACACAGTGTGTGCTTGTCTCTCTTTTTGTAGTGTTAACAGCTGTTGATGAATAATGCCTGCATCAATTCATTCATTAGGAGTTTTAAAATGGTGATATAATTCAATCATTCTTCATTTAGAAGCTGCAATATTTCTACAAGGGAAATCACCCCTCTTCAATTATTTGATTACCCGTTGGTATAGTTCATGTAAGAAAGCAGGATAAATGCTTGATTCTTTCCCTTTCACTATCTCTTAACCCTGTCGACTCTCATTTTCAACTGCCACCATCCTGATCCAAAATCCTTAACCTAACCTCCAAGATCTTGAACCTTTAGTGCCCTATTCATCTTGCAAGGTCCTGAATGATCTGGTCCCTGCCTGTTTCTCCAGCCTCATTTCCTGCTATTTTCCTCCTCCTTTTCTCACTATATCCAAGCCTCAAAAAGCTTTTGATGACCCCTCTACCTGGAAAGCTTTCTCCAATATCCTCTTCCCTTACTAACTCTTACATTGCTTTCTTAAGGAAGGCTAGATTGGT